CGTTAAAACATAAATATAGATTAGATGATACAATAGGAATTTACTACGGGCTTTTTACTATAAGTATTTGCCGCATTTGTAACAAGCATCTGCGATATTTCTTTTTACAGAATTGCTCTATTATTGGCTTGTAGTCAGTGATCTTCAAGAGGTCATTTTCCATGCACATGAGTGAAAGCCAGTTCAAACGATGCTATCCCATTGTGATACGAAGCACATACTTTTAGTTTTAAAAAAGAACATTCTCCTGCGAAGTTATTTACCATCATGCACTTGAACACAATAAGTACAGTTTCAATATTCGGGAAAACAGACTTCACATTGTCCAGAACCGTTTTTATGTGCTGTGCTTATTAGGACCCATGAAGTCCTTGAAACAAACAAACACACACATACACACACACACACATACACACACACATACACACACACAAATACACACACACACACACACACGAGAGAAGAGGGGGGAGGGGAGAGAAAATGGGAAATATGCTTTCGATTTTAGACTACATGGAATAATTTAAATGCCAAATATGTATTTTTTGTGGGGGGGGGGGGTATTTATGGAAGGTCACTATGCATACAAACCTTACCCACCTAGTGCCGATTGGTCTGTAAAAATATGGATGTGCTTCCCATATGCCCGATGCGCCAAAATGCCTGAAAAAGAATCTTAATGGTTTTTTTTAAACTCACTTTACATACACAGGTTAGAGCGGTGTCCCTATGCTTGTGGGGGTTTCGGGCAAGTGCCAGTGGGCCCACGTGTTAAGAAGGGCCTGCTTAGACTTCTACCTAACATCATTCGCAGTCCGACAGCCCAGTCGCACATAGCTCTCGCTCGCTCGCTCGTTTACCGCCCGATAAAGCCACGTGTGTCTCTCGTTAGCTTGCTAACTATCCATTCGTAGCCTGATTATCGATAGCTAGATACTGGTCAGACTCGCTTGAAATTCGGCTGAGTTTGGCTCGACTACGCTATCGGTTTTCGTCTGCGGGTGGGTTATTAGCGGCCCGAGAGCACATCATTGTTGAAGAGCCAGTCATACCAGCCAGTTTTTTTAACGATTGTCTAGGGAACTAAGGAGAAAGCACGCTTGGGTGTCCTTTTTAGGATACTCTAACAAGCCTTGCCGACTCCGAAGGGACCTAGCTTTCGCCACATACCGCAATTGACCATCATTGATTCTCCTATCATGGGAAAACAACAAGCAGCCGCACCTACACCAAGGAAGAGGATGGCCATACCAGCAGCCTCACCAGCAGGCGTCCCTATCGCGGCGCCTCGCACACCTACGCCAACTGAAGCCGCCCCCATCGTGGCGCTAGCACCAGAAGCCGCCCCTATCGAGGCGCCGACACCTGAAGCCTCCCCTATCGTGGAGCCACCACCTAAAGCTGCCCCAGTCGTGGCGCAGGGACCTACAAGCATCCGCTTACCTAAGCAGCAGCCTGGAGCCCACACCACAGACATCATGCAGTGCTCACGCTGCAACAGGGCGTGGCACACCGCCGCGACCTGTCGCAGTGGCCCTATTTGTCGTTACTGCTCGGGGGCCCACGACTTCAAGGAGTGCCCGCTAGCGAAACTCGATAGCGACTTCAAAAAGCGTAACAAAAAGCGGAAATGCAGCAACTGCTCAGGTTCACACAGTGCGAGGTACCTGGGGTGCCCATACCTCAAGAAGTGCAGGAGAGAAATGACAGCCGCCTCAGCCAGAGATACATGCCAGGCGCCCAGACAGCCGGAGGCAAGACCACCAAGAAACATACAAAGAGACAAACAAAACGATAAGGCACGCTCCGCCACCATTCAAAACGATATACCGCAAAAAGTCGACGAACTAAGAAGCCAAATCACAGCACTCCAGAAAGAAAGAACCACCGCCGCCGCTGAAAGAACCGAGACCCTTGAACTGATTTCCCTACTGCTAGGGGAGATCAAGGACCTAAAGGCAGAAAGGCTGGCATACGCTACCTAGCAAACAAACAGACAGTCAGAAGACGCAGAAAACCTACAAAAATTCAGAGAGCTACTTACCAGCCTCAGAGCAACCCAGGCAGAAGAAGAAGTACGCCGCCAGTCAGAGAGAGAGGAGAAAAGGAAGGAGCTGGCCGAGATAAAAACTGCACGGGAAGCCGCATACCGTGAAACCGCCCAGCTAGAGAAAGCCACCGCAGATGCCATAACAGCAGCACAAGCAGCTAAGACAGAAAGAGACCTGCTGGAGAAAGAAAGAAATGCCACAAAAAAGCAGAATTCCAACAAGGCTGACAAAGGCGTCTCCACTGACAACCTAACAACGAAGCATCAGGCGCAAATGACCGAACCAGAACATGATGAAACCAATGAAGAAGACTCTGAAGAGATCCCAGTCATCACAGAAACCGAACAGTCAGATGGAGAGATCATATCCGATGAAGAATACACACAAGCAGAGGCGACAACATTGTGTTCAGAAGCAGAAGAAATTGTAATCCCGAAGGACATAAGTGAGGCCGACCTGAGAAAGCTGGTAGTAATCAACAATAAACAAAATCCCCCGCACAAGATCGTATTTGAGGACGGCCGCTACTGCACATCATTTGACGAGGAGATATTTTTAAACGGTACACTCTTGGCCGATGAAAAAGGCAGGGCCTCCGTCAGAAAATTAACCCGATTCCTGGACAAGGTGATAGATGCCTATGAACGGATAAAAGCGACCAAACGAAATCAAAGGAGGCAGGGAACACCAAACAGACGCCGCCAATATTAAACCAGATAAACCGCCCACAAACAGCCCGGCAGATGGACCAGCCCAACCGCAGAACCAAGAAGCCATTAGCCAACCAGAACTGACCAAAGCCGCAATGACACCGACCAAACCCAGCTCACCGGACCGGAAAACTCACCCACACAAAACCAACCAGGCATTACCAAAACCTGACAACAGAAGCCAGACCCCGCCCATCCCGTTCCAGGCCACCCGGCACATGTGGCTGTCCTTTTCAGGACAGCCATGTCCACTCCCTAAACCTGCAAGCCGCCCGCCAAGCCCACGCTGCTAACAAGACGCAACAAATGAAAGAAAACTCAGGCGAAAATGATCGCCGCAAGAAAGAAATTCAAATCAAACCACAACTGCCACTGACTTCGATATAGCAAGCCGTCAGGTAGCTGAAAGAAGTCAAAGTTTGGAATTTTTGTTCTTTATGAATCGAATCGAATCTTCTACCTAATTTCGTAACCCTGCTTGTGAAGCTGGGGAGGGAAATTCACATAGTACTCAGGAAAAACAGACGGCAAGTTCTTTTCCGAGCCTCGATTTTTTGAACGGTAATGCCCGGAACTGAAAATTTCAACTTAAAGTACCCTAGGCATTAGAGCATTCACAGATAATCAGACAACTACCCTGGCTGTCTGTCTGTCTGTCTGTCTGTCTGTCTGTCTGTCTGTCTGTCTGTCTGTCTGTCTGTCTGTCTGTCTGTCTGTCTGTCTGTCTGTCTGTCCGTCCGTCCGTCCGTCCGTCCGTCCGTCCGTCCGTCCGTCCGTCCGTCCGTCCGTCCGTCCGTCCGTCCGTCCGTCCGTCCGTCTGTCCGTCTGTCTGTCTGTCTGTCTGTCTGTCTGTCTGTCTGTCTGTCTGTCTGTCTGTGTGTCTGTGTGTCTGCCTACAGTGCTGTCTTTACGCATGAGCATGCTTGGCAGTTGGCCAGGTACACTACGATACACTACGATACACTACGATACACTACGAACAAAGAGATCCCATAATAGCCTATGGACAGACCCCAGATACAATTCACCACAAATTTTTTTTTAAATTTACTGTATAGACAGAACCCAGTGCATTGCATTTCGCAGGGACTCACAATGCTGTACTTACGGATTTGGTCTATCTATCAGCTTATTTAGAGAACATATTTAGTAAACAGCTCTGCTAATTCTGGCACCGGTGATTATAAGCTCTGCTGATTTTATATGCCAAGTAGCTAAAAATCATTGGACACTGTCACCTGGTAATTATTTACACAGACGGTTCAGTGTCAAAAAGTAAAAGAAGTGCTTAGGGGTTCTAAGCAAATGTTAATGATCAACGTTTGGTGCAGGAGATCCTAGCATATGATACCACAACATCCAGCTTAATGGAGGGGGAGGACGTCACTGCAGCCTTCCGCTGGTTAGAGAACACGACACACACGCACATCGTATTTGTAACTGACTCAGAAAGCATACTGAGGAAGGGCAGGACAGGTATGCTTCGTGCAGAGTGGCAGGCTTTACTGCTGAGAACACAGATGAGGAATATTGTCTGGTTTTTGTCTCCGGGATACACCTGTGTGTTGGGAAATGAGCATGCGGACAGACGAGGTTGGGGCCTTTTGGGAGAAGCAGATGGATCACCAGTCTGGTGACGAGTGACGAGGAGTTCTGGCCGATGCTCGAGGCTCAGAGGAAAGGCAAGACGGACGTTTAATCAGAATGCTACTGGCACCATTAGTTTTGGAACTCTGCGCTGGCTGCTGAAGATCGGGACGGAGCGCTTATGGAAACGCCCCAAGTGCTGTAATGTCGGTTCTTGGATGAACTCAACTCACCTGGTGGCATCAAAGTGAAGTTACGTGATACACACAAGATTTAAAGCAAGAAACATCAGGCTCTATGTCATGTTTATAGATCGCGGAACCCATTATGGCGTATGCCATGACACTGTTATAGAAGTTATTTTATGACCTTTGGCAACTTTGTCAGTGTATTGTCCATGATCGACTGCGCGGCGACCGGGTGACGAACTCCCTGTGGTCCGGGTTCACGCCGGGAGGTAGGCAGAAAAGCCACATTTCATCCCAGATTTACGGTATGTATCATGGAATCAATGCCGAAGGGTTGCGATATCCATAGTACCGAGCCAGAGAGTTAACAACCCATGGTTTCTGGATACTTGGAAAAAAAAAACCTTTGTCCACGATAAGACCTTTTCTCTCTATCTCTCTCTCTCTCTCTCTCTCTTTACCAGGTCCATGTGAGGCTGAGTACAGTTATGGGGGAGAGGCTGACCTTCGCACCCACTACAACATCTGTGAGAAGAATCCAGGTCACAAGAGCTTTATTCCTGTAGACAAATTCAACATGAAAAATCTTCCCCAAGGTTTCTGCGACGAACAAATGCTTAATTATATCCGAGCTGTGTCAGATCTGACAGTTCGTGTCACAGTAAAATATTTCAGTCGCAGAAGACCAGCGACTTTACCTGACAGTAACAAGCCGTATCCAGGTTTCAGAGTCAGAGGCCAACGTAGAATAACAGTAGGAACCGGATGTGTGGAGAGTGTGCGTGTTTACGATGCCAGCACTGGATACACATGTAAATGTAAGGATTGTCAAAACTCTGGTACGCCAAAGAGAAACTTTGCTATAATTTCCATAAAAACAGCATCCCATGTTGTCTTTGACCAAAGTGAGGCAGAAGAGACCACATGTCACCTGTTCTTTGATAGCGGAGACACACCAGACACCTGCAGCGGTGTCGTCGCGCTCACTGGTATGTCCTGTAGGTTAAGTGTCGTCAAGGAAGACCTATGCCACATGGATCACTACACTCATGACTTAGATCTGGCTCATAGATTACGCAAGATATTCCTTCGAAGATGTCATCTGCGATATGAACTGTATGATGTTATGCCTCGTTTAGGGCAATGTAATTGGGCAGAGAATATCCCAGGCATGTGGCCAATGGCGTTTGTAGTGTCCCACCCGCATGGCTCTAGCAAAAAGATCACTCTTGGTTGTTGGAAGAGTGCATACGAGTCCGAACATGACGAGATGGCTAGTTGCTACATATACACAACAGACACTTGTCCTGGTTCAAGCGGAGCTGAAGTCTGTCTGCTGGGGAGTTATGCGGAGCAGGGATTGAGTACTATTCCAGCCAGTCATCATGGCTCATTCCCTTCGATGGCAGAAATGAATCGTTGTTTTTCTACTCCAGGTAAGTGGGGAAAAAAACAGTTAGTTCTCTGAGCATGTAGCTTGTTATAGTACTGTATAACCATAGTTGCGTATCCTGTACAGGACGTTGCAGAACCAACCCCAGCAGCCCCTGGCTGTTGTGTGGTTTCTCTAGGCAAATTTACGTCCAGTAGTTTGCCATTGCTCCTGGACGGTCGGCCCCCTGATACCACTGTCGAAACCAACGCAAGGGACATGGCCCGCAGCTGGGATCGAACCCGGCACCCCGGCATTACGAAGCGTTCGCATCGACTTAGCTACAGAACCGACCATAGTACTGTATACAAAGAACAAAAAAGTATCACTTTGTGAGGAAAGCACACACACACACACACACACATTATATATATATAAAATCATTAACCGATTCAATGATTGTTAATAAACTATTTTGCACGAATTACCCAGACAGATTTGCAGAAAAATGTTTACCTCTAAACTAACCTATATATTATAGATATACTGTTTTGCACGCACATTGACCTAATATTATCCTTTTCCCAGGTCAACGATGCCCAGAATACCTGTATGCGAAATCGATGTGGTAGGATCAAGGTTTGGCGTGGTTATTATTCTAAAAAGTGACGTCAGTAAAATACGAGAAAGGTACAGAGATGCTAAATATAACCCAACATGGAACTAAAAGGCTGAACGGAGTGTATAGAAAAGACGCACACAAATACAACAGAACGTTTCACCCAAAGTCTTTATCAACGGAGTGCTAAATAAAACACAACCTGTGACTGGAGAACTAAAATGGACAAGACAATAACACTTCTAAAAAAAACAAGGACAGCATGAAACCAAGAAGTATGTAATTTATATGAATATAAAGGGCTATGCTATAATATGAAACAAAAAAAAAACAAAAAACAAAAAGCAAGGAGGCGTACATAAAAAGAGGGGGAGAAATATAAAATTATTTTTAAAAAAATTAACAAATTGATACATGAACTTAAATAAAGCTGTCTTGAATGTTGATCCCACCAAAACTGAGAACCCCAAAACCATGAATGAAACGATTTCCTAAGTAATAGCGGATGGCCAGCTGTATTGTCTTGTCCGTTTTAGTTCTACTGTCAAATGATGCTAAACTTATGACCAATCGACACTCGATGGGTGAAGTGACAAACATCAGGCCAACCGCCTTTAGTTCCCATGATATTTCCTGGCTCCCGTGGTACATTCCACTGTCAGGGAAGTCAATTTCTATTGGACGTGCATATAAATAATATGTTTACAACAATACTATATCATTATCAAAGAATTGTGTTGTTATTTTAACAAAATAATTGTTCTCAGTGACTTTAAAGTTTTGGGTAATGCTTACGTATTTGTACAATTGTCCGTTCGCTTTGTAGCTGCAACATTACTTTGTTACTCCTGTGTTTTCTTTTTTTTTTCTTTTTTTAAAGGGAAGCTGATCAGTTATATTTTCTGTTTTGCTGAACTTTTTTATTGAAATGTTTCTCACATCGCTTTATACAATCTGGCTTAAAATAAGGCAATGCACCGTCCCTGCTTCTTTTCATTTCGGGCCTTTAGAAACTCACAGGGAAGGTTAAGGAATGTTTACTTTTGCAGAAACTATAAGAACTGGAAAGAGAAGGTTGATTAATGGAGGTGGGTGCAGTATTAAATTCAAGGGCTCAAAAGGCCGAGGACAAAAATAAAAATTATTGTTTACTTATATCGTATTTATATTTTTTAAATATTATAACATATACACAGTAATTTACTCAAACGTTGTCTTATAGCTTTCTATAATTATTCTTTCGCCATTATCACTAACCTTTCTTTTACAGGCTAATTTTGTCAACACTGTTACAGACTTTTGGAGACGTACTTATGTTTGATGTGTGCGTGTAGTCATCGTTGGACTGCTTGAGTCTTGTTTATATTTCCTCTGAATCAGACACTTGTCATCTCTTCTGCTACAATGATTAGACACTTGGCATATCTTCTGCTACAAGGATTAGACACTTGGCAACTGTTTTGCTATTCTTGATCAGACACTTGACATCATTTCTGCTTCATAAGATCAGACACGTGGCATCTCCTCTGCTACACAAGATCAGACACGTGGCATCTCCTCTGCTTCACAAGATCAGACACTTGGCATCTCCTCTGCTACACAAGATCAGACACTTGGCATCTCCTCTGCTACAATGATCAGACACATAGCATCTCTTCTGCTGCACAAGATCAGACACATAGCATCTCTTCTGCTGCACAAGATCAGACACGTAGCATCTCTTCTGCAAATCAAGATCAGGCACTTGGCATCTCTTCTGCTGCACAAGATCAGACACATAGCATCTCTTCTGCTGCACAAGATCAGACACATAGCATCTCTTCTGCTGCACAAGATCAGACACATAGCATCTCTTCTGCTGCACAAGATCAGACACATAGCATCTCTTCTGCTGCACAAGATCAGACACATAGCATCTCTTCTGCTGCACAAGATCAGACACGTAGCATCTCTTCTGCAAATCAAGATCAGGCACTTGGCATCTCTTCTGCTGCACAAGATCAGACACGTGGCATCTTTTCTGCTGCACAAGATCAGACACGTGGCATCTCTTCTGCTGCACAAGATCAGACACGTGGCATCTTTTCTGCTGCACAAGATCAGACACGTGGCATCTCTTCTGCTGCACAAGATCAGACACGTGGCATCTTTTCTGCTACAATGATCAGACACATAGCATCTCTTCTGCTGCACAAGATCAGACACGTAGCATCTCTTCTGCAAATCAAGATCAGACACGTAGCATCTCTTCTGCTTCACAAGATCAGACACGTAGCATCTCTTCTGCTTCACAAGATCAGACACATAGCATCTCTTCTGCTGCACAAGATCAGACACGTAGCATCTCTTCTGCAAATCAAGATCAGACACGTAGCATCTCTTCTGCTTCACAAGATCAGAAACTTGGCATCTCCTCTGCTACACAAGATCAGACACATAGCATCTCTTCTGCTGCACAAGATCAGACACATAGCATCTCTTCTGCAAATCAAGATCAGACACGTAGCATCTCTTCTGCTGCACAAGATCAGACACGTAGCATCTCTTCTGCTTCACAAGATCAGACACATAGCATCTCTTCTGCTGCACAAGATCAGACACGTAGCATCTCTTCTGCAAATCAAGATCAGACACGTAGCATCTCTTCTGCTTCACAAGATCAGAAACTTGGCATCTCCTCTGCTACACAAGATCAGACACGTGGCATCTTTTCTGCTACAATGATCAGACACATAGCATCTCTTCTGCTGCACAAGATCAGACACATAGCATCTCTTCTGCTGCACAAGATCAGACACATAGCATCTCTTCTGCTGCACAAGATCAGACACGTAGCATCTCTTCTGCAAATCAAGATCAGGCACTTGGCATCTCTTCTGCTGCACAAGATCAGACACGTGGCATCTCTTCTGCTGCACAAGATCAGACACGTGGCATCTCTTCTGCTGCACAAGATCAGACACATAGCATCTCTTCTGCTGCACAAGATCAGACACATAGCATCTCTTCTGCTGCACAAGATCAGACACATAGCATCTCTTCTGCTGCACAGATCATCAGACACATAGCACATAGCTCTCTTCTGCTGCACAAGATCAGACACATAGCATCTCTTCTGCAAATCAAGATCAGACACGTAGCATCTCTTCTGCTGCACAAGATCAGACACGTAGCATCTCTTCTGCTGCACAAGATCAGACACATAGCATCTCTTCTGCTGCACAAGATCAGACACGTGCAAATCAAGCATCTCTTTCTGCTACACAAGATCAGACACATAGCATCTCTTCTGCTGCACAAGATCAGACACATAGCATCTCTTCTGCAAATCAAGATCAGACACATAGCATCTCTTCTGCTACACAAGATCATCTCTTTCTGCTGCACAAGATCAGACACATAGCATCTCTTCTGCTGCACAAGATCAGACACGTAGCATCTCTTCTGCAAATCAAGATCAGACATCTCTTCTGCTGCACAAGATCATCACATAGTGGCATCTCTTCTGCTGCACAAGATCAGACACGTGGCATCTCTTCTGCTGCACAAGCAGACACATAGCATCTCTTCTGCTGCACAAGATCAGACACATAGCATCTCTTCTGCAGACAATAGCAAGATCAGACACAAGATCAGCATCTCTTCTGCTGCACAAGATCAGACACATAGCATCTCTTCTGCTGCACAAGATCAGACACGTGGCATCTCTTCTGCTACAATGATCAGACACATAGCATCTCTTCTGCTGCACAAGATCAGACACATAGCATCTCTTCTGCTGCACAAGATCAGACACATAGCATCTCTTCTGCTGCACAAGATCAGACACATAGCATCTCTTCTGCAAATCAAGATCAGGCACGTAGCATCTCTTCTGCTACACAAGATCAGACACGTAGCATCTCTTCTGCTGCACAAGATCAGACACGTAGCATCTCTTCTGCAAATCAAGATCAGACACATAGCATTGCTACACAAGATCAGACATCTCTCTTCTGCTACACAAGATCAGACACATAGCATCTCTTCTGCTGCACAAGATCAGACACGTAGCATCTCTTCTGCAAATCAAGATCAGGCACTTGGCATCTCTTCTGCTACACAAGATCAGACACATGACAGCTGAAAGTTTATACTAAATGCTAATCATTATATCCGCACACTATGTAAGCTGACTGTTTTAGCTTTTATCTACGCAAGAAAATATAGTTACATAAATTACTACGCCTTTATAAATTGGCAATTAAACACATATTGTGAGCTATTCAGTTGCCTGATTCTTTCTAAGGACTGTTGGGGCATCATTTATGTGTGAGTGCGTACGTGTATGTGTGTGTGAGTGTGTGTGTGTCGGAAGCCGAGGTAGTGTAGTGGCTAGAAGCGTGCCTGCCAGCCTGGAAGCTCATTTTTCAGATCTGCATTTAAATATGTTTTGTTGGGGGAGG